TAGTGGGAAGCAGTGACCAGTGGAGTTCTACCAAGTCTGTTGTAGAGGTATAAACTCATTGAAGACAATTGGTGAATGGTTGCTCAAAATCGTGGATTGTTTGAAGTTAGACATCAACACCGTTGGATGCCGGCTCACTGGTCTATCGGTTAAGGGTTCTGGCTCGAGAAAGGTAGATCCGGGTTCGAATCTCGCGAGTGCGGGATCGTGGATGCGCACTGCTGAGGAGTCCCGTGCTTCCAGGTTTTCGATGGTGGTCTAGCTTCAATTGACTCAAGATTTACCTATGAAAATACTAAATTCTCCACAAAACCCCCTCAAATAAATATCAATCAAACAAAAATAACCACAAAATAGACAATGTGAGCATTGATAATTAAGCTGTTCAGTATTTTGTAATTCTTATTATTTAATCGAATAATGTTAGAAACTAAATGAATTTTATAAAACAGTTTACATCATTGTATGCTTAAGTAAACAGCCAATGCTTACTAATTAGCTACTTGGTTCAAGTCTGTCATAAGCCGACAGTGAGTGTGTACGACAGTTCCATATACAGTATTAGGGACTTTCAGGTTCTACAGTGAATTTTTTTAATCTAAACTATTTACTCGGCATCCAAATCTTTGTAATTTCAACATCATTCAGGTTACAACATCACAAAATCACTGTATATTACCATTAGTAATACTTGGTCTTACACTTGATGATGAACTTTCTACATGAAGCTCACTGCTTCCATACTGAGAAGAATTAAATGTCCAACGTTTATTTATTTTCAATAATCGTCTACCTCAATCCAGTCTGTAGTATGATTTACCTGCATCCTAAATAGTTTCTACTCTCTTTACTAAATTATAAAAATTATTTCTTCTAAATCACGGACTGATTAATATCAAACCATCATTGAAAACCCAGAAGCACTAATCGGCCGTTTCGTCCTACTGCAGGACTCCTCTGCAGTGCTCACCCACAACCCACCACGCAGGACTCGAATCCGGGACTTCTGACCACTCAACCTCTAGACCACTGACCGAGCATCCAACAGTGTCTGACACTAATCAATCCACGATTTTGCGCGACCATTTTCAATTGTCTTAGGTAGGTAGTTGCCTCACAAGTTAAACATTAACACCATTTTACCCTATTCAGTGATCCACGGGTTAAGCATTTGTGCTAGATCGAAGCCCCATAGTTCGGTTCATGTATGCGGAGCTGTGATTGAGCATTAATGAGTAGTCCAAAACCTAGGACGAAACAGCCCTCCAGTACTTCCACGTTTACAATGCTTGTCTGACATTAATCAGTTCACGACTTCAATGAAACTCAGCAATCGCCACAAACTTATACTGTTAAACAAATATTTATAATATTGATAATATTAATATTTATAATATTAATATTTATTATCTCCTAAAACATATCTACCTAATATTCTTAATCTATATTCAGTAAACGGTATTAATTAAAATCTCGACTTCCACAATCAGACAAATACCGCATGACATGAAAAGATGATAAGTTCCGTTACTTTCAATATTGTATTACTTTTTAAAGTATTATTCAATGAATTTCCTGATATCTTTATTTTATAAAGCTAATATGTTGGTCATCGAGAGACATAAAATGACTGGTTACTGTTATCGAATCTTAAATGAATCAAAACGGATATTCAGCTTAGAAAAATTTAGCTTCCTTTGAAGTCTATATGAGCGAATTAGGTGAGACGATAACCAGTCAGATATAAGATAACAGGTCATTGATTTTGGCACAAAATTCATTCATCCATTTGGGTAGATCGCGTTTTGCCATTTTAGATGATGTCGGTTCGTAATGAAAACCGTAAATCTGATTTCTAACCCTAACCGTCAACACTGGTCTATAAATCTCATTTAGTCCTACATAGTAGGTGGACATTTTCAAGTTGACTTCAGCGTCGCTCAAAGGTCGTCCAAAAATTATAACTTCGCCGAGAATTATTTAGTAGACCACAAACACGATTGTTACTATCAAATGTTACTGGTTTACATTACATATTACAACATATTTTGTCATTTAAAAATTCTCAATAATATCATAGTAACTAAATGTTTTATGTCAGCATACATTGTAATAGTGGAAATCGCATAAACCTATTAGTCAGGAATTGATATGAGACAACAACAATTATCATAACCGGTGCAACTAGATAGATAGATAGATAAGTAAATATATATCATTATATGTACAGTATAACTTGGTAGTCAATATCCATGAATAGTTACCAAAAATAGTTCATGAAAAAGGTTAATCTATTTATTGTTAAGAAGTAAAAAAATAAATAATGCAACCAAATAATTGCACACATTTTCATGTGTTCACTCGTGACTTATTTATTTTTTGCCTGCTTCTTGTTGCTATCACTACTACTGTAATGAAGAAAACACTACTGGGAACAATCGAATGTATTTAAGCACAAAATTACAGACTATATCAAAAAATTCTGATAACCATAGAGTATTGAACATTTAATTTGCAAAATAACAATCAATTGTTTCAATCTTAATTGTTCCTTCTGTAAATATCAATCCGTCTTCTCTGATTTCATTGTTCATGCATTTTCGTACCGATTGCGCTTCATTCCTGTTCGTTCCTTATCGATCTTCTGCCAAAATACATTCTATGTCTGACTATCACCATATACTACTTATATGGATATAAGTAGACCAGACTACTACTACTACTACTACTCCTGAGTAGTTGATTAGATTTCAAATAGATATGGTTATTTTGGGAAATACAAATGTGAAAAATTTCAAGAATTAAGATACTACTCTATTCTATTTCGTAAACGATAGATTTTTGCACATTGAATCAACCAGCCTACTCCTTGATAATAATAATAATAATAATAATAATAATAATAATAATAATAATAATATATAGATAATTTAAACGTTTATTAATCCATGCTTGAAAATGTCTCAAAATTCACTTCTACTCCCCTATCATAAATATGTTTCATATTGAAATAATGTGTATAGAAGTTGGTTATTTGACTTGGTTATTACCTTTTACATATAATACAGTTGGTATATACATAAATATACACTTATATTTTACATTACTTCATTTAAAGTTATCCGTTTCATACTAGATATACCGTTTAAATTCCAAAACAATAAATAGTTATGAATTCCAGTATAAACGAAATACTTGATAAATGTCAGTATAGTTTTATAAATATGAAATTAATGAGTAGTAGCCTACATAGAAGGTAATAATTAACTAACTAAGCTGAAAATCTAAATTGGATGACTTTTCACTTAAAGTTATTTATATAAAGTCTGAAGTATTAGGGTTAATAAATGTGGTTCAATATTAATGGTAGAATTTTTAGATCTATTATGAAAATTATTGAAATCAATTAATTTATTTTATAATAACTGCCATTTAATAAATAATTATTCATTTTTTTGTATTGGTTGTTTGAATATTACCTTTGACGCTCAGAACTGCGTCTGTTCAATCTGTCACTGTCCCCAAATGCCCTGGTACGGATGAGAGTGGAGAGAGTCCGCTCTCCCTCTCCAAATGCTCTCACATTGCCACGCGTATATAGTCTCTGTCATGAAAGTTCTACTCACTGCCTTCTCGTGGCGGGGGTGTTGTTTACGAAATTGAGAGGACGAAAAGCGAATGTCCGGCGCTTTACCCGGCTTGGTGGATATGGAAAGTCCACCCAGGCAGGTTGGAAAACCCTGATTCCAAACCAGTGGTGCACTTGGGCTCCAGTATCCTGAGGAAACAAATGGCGTATGAATCAACCGTTGATCACCGGCTACCATGGGACTGCATCTCTTCACGATGCTCCACTGCCTTGTGGATCAGACCTTTAGTTCGAAGGCTCCGGGTGTGGCTCCCTAATAAAACCACCTGCTTCAGTCTGGGCATCTGGGCAGTATCACAGCCCCCACACAAACCAAATGAGATTTGTGCGGTGCATATATATCTGGTGCCTCCTTGTACCAATATCTATGTGTTTAAATAAAAATAAAATAAATCTGTCACTAACATATATGCAACCCGTGCGAACTACCTCAGTATTGCTCTAAGTTACAAGCATTATAACCACAGATGAATGGTGGTTAGCAATGAAATTCAGTACGCGCCTGGAGTCCTGAAGCGAATATTAACTGCAGGATGTAGACACACCCATCTGATCAATCGCAAATAGGATGAAACGCTCATCCTGGATTCCATTACTAGCTACCATCCATCTCTGCTTATAAATAATTATTGTCTATAAAAACATATAATATAGAAATGAAAGGAGATTCTTGAATGAACTTTCGCAAATAAATTAAATCCCTGAGTCAGTATGAGTAAACAATTCAAAATATAACTCGAATTAAGTGTATTTGTTGAACAAAACGAACGTATCATACATGTATCTGTAATATGAAAACTATCTAATAATTTGATTATACGACCACTTGTATTCTACGTTCCCTATAAACATGTAAATCAAGAATAATTCTCATAAAGCACTGATTCCTATTCCTATTAAATACTTTAAATTTATAAAAACAAGAACTTCATGAAGAAAATCATTTTTTTACAGAACACATATATAAATACTTCTAACCATAATCTACCATTAGCTTAAATAATTAAATGAGCAGAAGGGGTTTTATGGAGATTTTAGTAATTTTATAGAGTTGAGATCATGAGTTAATTGAAGCTAGACTACCATGGAAAACCCAGAACCACTGGACGGCCATTTTGTTCTATTGTGAGACTCCTCAGCAGTGCGCATCTACGATCCCGTACTCGCGAGCGAGATTCCAACCCAGGACCTACCAGTCTTGCGCCAGACCACTTAACCGATAGTCTAGCTTCAATTGACTTATGATTTCAACTATGAAAATACTGAAATCTCCACAAAACCCCTTTTGATCTATTACATAATCAACTGTAATATTTACATTTTTTTCAATCAATTTAACAAAAGCACTCACTTTTTAATTGGTTTTCTTATTTCCAATTCCATTATTATTGTGTGTATATTATTTACATGTTAGTAAATTTTTTTCAAAAAAGTGATTATACTACTGATAATACAGATATTGTATACTGATGAATAATGTTAAACAATTAGTTATATTATTGTTCTTATTTCCAAACCAAGAAAGTATATACACAGTATTTATAGTCATTTATTTAATCTGTAAATCCATTTATTATAGTTGGTTACCTATACACCTAAATAAATGAAAAGAAAAATGAAACAATTTTTGAGTTATGCAACAACAACAACAACAAAACTGGTTAAAAGAACATATATGTGTAAAACAATACATCTTCATACACATAGATTATACTCAAACAAAACGATGTATACACCTAAATTGGGATTAAACTAATCATGACTTAGTGCAGATTTTGTACACAAACACACACACAGATACAGACACACTAAACACAATGGGATTATCTCATGTTGATAGTTGTACATTAGTATGAAGTAATTAGATATATGATATCGTTTGCATATATATGCATAGTGATAAGTAATGGTACATTCCATATTAAATATTAAAAACACAAATCATAAGTTAAATACCCGGAGATAATATGAGACGTTTTAGGATTAATAAACATCGTTTCTGAGTGAATTATTTCTATTAAATAATCTACCGGATGTTTTCAATGGATTATTTAAAGTAGAAAGTATAAACATAAATGTAATAGTTTGGGCGTCAACACATAGAATATGATAAGAAAAAAAAACTTATTGTGTCATTCAAGAAAGAATAATGACAATTTAGTGACGAAAACTTTCTATCCGAAATTATCATTTACTAAAGCTGTTGACCAAAGGAAAAGAAGAAGACCAAAGAATACATTACGCCGAGAAATAGAGATAGACATGAGAAGAATGAACAAGAACTGGATAGAACTAGAAAAGAAGGCTCAGGACAGAGTGGGTTGGAGAATGCTGGTAGGCGGTCTATGCTCCATTGGGAGTAACAGGCGTAAATAAGTAAGTAAAGCCGTGTAATCGTATTTGTAATGATGTAATCAGTATGTGAGTCTATAAGAGAATAGGAGTAGATCATGTCATAAGGATTCGGAAATTTAAGGTAACACAAAAACTTTACGTAATAGTCTAGAATGAGCTAGAGAAAAATAGTAAGATGAAAATAATTTTCCGATCAAAAAATATAAATATAATTGTTCACTTGACAGACATAACGAAGAAAAATGAAGGTGAGGATAACAACTAAGTATTATCATAGTTGAAATCATGAATCAATTGAAGCTAGACCACCATGGAAAACCTGGAAGCACTGGTGAGGAGTCCTATAATAGGACGAAAAGGCCGTCCAATGCTTCCAGATATTTCATGGTGGTCTAGTTTCAATTGACTCATGATTTCAACTATGAAAATACTGAAATATCCACGAAAACCCTTTTGAACTAAATATTACTTACGGAAATTATGAGTGTAATAATCAGAGATTAAAATGTAAGATATATAGAAACCTATGTTTAGAACCTACTTTTAGGGTAATGCAATAGTGACTCATTACCTTCACTGAGATCTATCTCAAACAAATTTTAACAAACATACAACTACTCCCATAGAGTACTTTCATCAAAATAACATTTGTAATATTTGAAATCACTAATCTTTTTTTTATTTACACTTCTCAATATCAAATTGTTTTGTGAACTCATATTTGTATCCGGTTAACTGTTCTTAATTCACTTTTTTTTATTAAATGTAAGTGTACCAAGTCAATATCCAATGTGTTTTTAAACATATTTTGTTATTTTACTAAATCTAATACAAACGCTGACCTAATAATCGAAAAAAAAAACTATCAATTAAATAGAAACTTATCAGCACTCAGGCATTACACTATACCAACGAAAAACAAAACAGACTAGCTAGATCAGAGACTATACTGTTGTGAACAAGAAAACTGATGAGGACAATCGAAATATATTTAGACACAAATTACAGACTATCTCACTAAATTCTGATAACCATACAACAAACAGTTAGTTTCCAAAATAACCATTAATTGTCTCAATCTTCACTGTTCCTTCTGTAAATATCAGTTCATCTTCTCTAATCTCATTGTTCATGCATTTTCTTACCTATTGTGCTTCATTTCAGTTCTTTCCTTATCGGTCTTCTGCCAAAATACATCCTATGACTGACCCTCACCATATACTACTTATATGGATATAAGTAGACCACACTACAATACTATATTGAAAGTGTATTTGCAATCTATTCTAAAATTTTACTTTTAATCAATCATATTAACTACATTATTTTATTGTTCAACCTAATATAGTCTAGTGGATTAGGTCAAGAACAAAACAAGTCTATGTAATAGAACTGGGGAAAAAAACAATAGATGTAAATACTACTGAAGAAAGAAAACATTTCAAAGGTTCATCATAAGATATTCAGACTAAGGTATTCTTCTTTCATTTCAGTATGAGTATACTTGGAGACAGGAGAAAAACAAAACAATTTCTTGACATGATAAAAATTAAAATCAGAAAACAAGAAATGACAACGTTTAATATTCTTCTTTACTTTATAACATGTGAAATCATATAAGTCAGACAGTAATGGTTATTATTAGTATGTGATTGTGATCATTTTTAGAATTCTTTTAGAGACCATTAACAGATCTAGACTAGACAAACACTGGAAAATTGAAAAAACTAAACACTAGTCTAGTTTTAATGTAAAACTCCTCAATAGTGCTCATTTAGGATCCTGCAACCAGGGACCAAACTCAGGATCTTTAACCTCGCGCGCGAGCACTGAACTTCTGGACTACCAAGTCGACACGCAATAAGGTAAAATTATTGTGCGATTTTTCTCGATAATTTTTTACCATCTCCGGTGGGTGCCTTCCCCATAACCAACACAATTAAACTGAACCTGTCATGGCTTTCCACTAAAACTGGGGAAATTTCCGATCGTAGCTAGACACAAGTGAGCACATGACAAACATCGGTTTGGTGTTATCAAGATTGCTGAATTTTGTTGAGATCACGAACCGGTTATTGACCGATTGGTTTTACCTTCGTTCGTTTTCCCAGAATTTAAATTTAGAAAATATAGAAAATCCAAAAGACGGAAAACATCACAAACTTGTTTGGGTCTTCCGTGGTGGTAATGGTTGGATATACGACGAGCCTGTTTTTTAATTCACAACTTACACGTTAGCAACTATATATATGTATATATGTGCCTTATGTATGTATGTGTGTGGCGACATACATTTTCAGTGTACCTCGTTAGGAGATATGTCAGACGACAACGGACTTGCCTTAGGTAAAACACCTAATCATTGAAACCTAGTAATTTGGAATGAAGCTGAAGAAGTAATAAATCTTCTACAAAAGCCTGCTTTCTATCACTCTTTATTAATAATAATTGACTCTTCTCTGTACTGCGTAATGAGTCAGTGCAAAGTGATTAAACATGCATACACTATAGCAAACTAAACTAAAATATACATTATTTATCCACAAATCACCCTATTCATTTTTTTCAGCTTTCAAGACACCTTCTTATACGTCATGTAGTGCAATCGAACGTTTAGAGTGCAAAGTATCAATATATGCGCTTGGTCGTGAAATGAAAATATATTTAACATTTTTAAAAATTAAAATGTTTAATAAACTGACTAAATCAAAAGAAAAGGAAACGACAATTCATGTTTACATAACTACGGAAAAAATAGGTGTGATATATATCCACCCGGTGATGATGAACGAATTTAGCTTCACTAATCCAAAATTAGTCTTAATCTTGTGACCTAAAGTCTTTAAAAACACCGATTTAAATTGTGTTTTAGTTTAGACAATCAACTTGCAGCAAAATTTGAACATTGAGGTAATGACACAAGATTTTAAGAAGATTGTTTACCAGATAAACTGGTAGACAAATTGGTTCATGCAAAGATGGATAGTGGCTAGCAGTGGATGTACCTGCATCTCAGAGTTGATGTTCACTCTGAAACTCGAACTTATTAACTTTCGCTTCAAACGCCATCTCGTTATCCACTGCTAGCCACTATCCATCTTTGCTTAAAATGCTTGTGAAATAAGGCTATATCGAGGCAATACACACAGTATGCACATAAGTCAATAAGAGACTGACCAGTTGCAGTCCTAAAACATCAATGGGAAGATTCTAACAAGTAATACTAAATGAATTTAAATTGGTTCATGATTTTAACTTACAGTTTACATCGTTTACTTAGTTTGTGTTATTAAACATTTCACGCAATATAGTATTTGTATGTTTCTTCAAATATGTCGGACTGAGTCAAAAACTTTGAGTTAGTCATCCATTACTTGTATTCTGACTCTGATTTATCTTATCATTCCGACGTATAACTGGCCAATAAAACAAACAAAATACAAATTTATTTTAAACAACCAGTTTTACGAAGCTAGTCACTTTATGTAGTTCGTACGAATTCATTCAATCAACAATCTATCTAATATAATTATAATTATAATTTATCTGACAAAATGAGATTTCACTTTTTATATTCAGTGACATTCCATTGAAGTTACAATAGTTTGTAAACGGATTATTTTGTCTTATTAACGATTAACATAGCCAATTCTACAGTTTACAGCTTCCCACAAGAACTTGCAACAAAGCATCACGAAGCCAGTTACTAGTGGGTACACAGTTATTTCTGTTACAATTTTCATTGATGGTTTTATGAAATTTATCCAAAATTTTCGGCTGTTTTCAGGTCTTTTAGTAAGCGACTGAGGCAATATAATTTCCGCTGGAAATTTCCTTCCAACCGCAAACTTCCATTGTATTGCGTTTTGCATCCGGCATATTGAAATACATTACACCAACATTTTCGTTAGTTAGGGTTGTGAATAACTCCAGTCTCTTAAAATGAAGTTATTGAAAACAACGTATCAATAAACAGCACTTATATGTTAAGTGGACTGGGAAATGATCGAAAATGCCATATATATTGGATAATGAGGATATTTCTAATAATTCAGCTCATATTTACTGAAAAAATATCAGGAAATAGTCTTATGGAGAACTGTTTAAACCGTAAGTTGTATTCGGCTCAAGTTAATTTCATTTAAAGTATCATTGAAAACCAGGATAAATTGGACAGTTTTTTAGTCTTAATAAGAAACTCCTGAGTATTGCTCACTCACAGGAACTCATCAAGAACTTTCATATGATGCGGTTAACGATTGATCATTAGAATTACTACATAGTGGTCATTGCTGAAGTATACCCCTCTAATGCACCCCAGTTTTCAATTGTAACCCAACAAAAATCAATCTACAATGAATACAGCACATAAATATTTATCAGAAGGGGGTTTTGTGGAGATTTTAGTAATTTTATATAGTTGAGATCATGAGTCAATTGAAGCTAGACCACCAAGGAAAACCTGGAAGCACTGGACGGCCGTTTCATCCCATTGTGGGACTCCTCATCAGTGCGCATCCACGGCCTCGACTCGCGAGACCCTAACCCAGTCTCGTGCCAGAGCACTTAACTGATAGACCACTGGCTCATGATCTCAACTATATAGGATTACTAAAATCTCCGAAAACCCCTTTTTGATAATGATCATATGCTTACTAGTCACTGGCTCCATGAGGTATTTCCTAGAGTTCTAGTGAGAAGCAGTAACCAGTGGAGTTCAACCAGGTCTGTTGGGAGATATCAACTCATTGAATACAATAGTGGATTTGTCGCTCAATTTAGTGGATTGGTTGAGGTTAGACATTAACACCGTTGGATGCCAGCTCAGTGGTCTATCGGTTAAGTGCTCGCGTGCGAGACTAGTAGGTCCTAGGTGGGATCGTGAATGCGCACTGCTGAGGAGTCCCACAATAGGACAAAACGGCCTTCCAGTGCTTCCAGGTTCTCCATGATTGTCTAGCTTCAATTGACTCATGATCTCAACAACACAAATATATGTTTATTTCTACCAACCATTTCTATAACAATCATCAGTAAACGATCAATATGCAGTCGCACTTTTTAAAAAAATAATATCGATCACACACTAATTGATTTTAAAAATGTTCTTGTTTAATATACATGAGCAGTATACTGACTATTTCGAGTGTTATCATCCATTTATATATAAATACATTGACATCAATTTTAAAGTAACTAATATCACGTTTATTAGCTGTGTATCCTTTTGGATCAATGAAAATTAGGGGTGTACGTACTACTAATACTACCATTATTAACTTGTCTCACAATGTACTGTGTTATTGTGCATATATGTGTGTGCGGGATGTATATGTGTATATTTGTATGTGTGTATATACTTATATTTATGTGCTTTGGTTTGTGTATAGAATATATACAATTAAATTAGTGCAAGTGTTAATAGAGTTTTCAGTACCAGGATATTGTGCAGTAGTATGAACATTACTCTCACACTATAAGTACATAATAATAAGTAAATAAATTCATAGTGAATAATGTCATATATGTATATAATACTCTGATTTCAGTTTTCGGTTGTGTAGACCAGTAAGCAATGCTATTAAAATGTGTTGAGTTTGAGGAAGGCACTCACCAAAGGTAATAGAAGCTTGATGTTATACTTGTATATTATCGAATTTCGGATCAGTTATTCAGAAATTAGGCGTTTTCGCTCGTGATCGGAGGTCCTAATTTCGATTCACGGTCATAATATCGTGGATGTGAATTACTAAGAAGTCCCATATTATGACGAAGCGGTCGTTTAGTGACTCTAGGTTTTCGATCGATCATAAAACTCTGCACTCCTTAGGAACTAAGATAAACTAGGGGTTATTTTTATCAGAAAATAATCTCGTTTACAGGAATGCTTATAAATATGAAGCATTGGACATAGGTCTAATTATGTTTTTCAACTGGTGAACATCACTATATCCATGGTCTTATATCACTATGATCTTAACTAGTTTAGATCTTACGATGGTCATCATACCACTGAATCATTAAATTAGGAATCATAATCTCACTCGTTATACAGAGTGATTAGAATAGAAAAAGAATTGTTTAACGTTCCATGATTCTTTTATCAACGTCAGCCTACAGTGAAAATCATCTTCAAATGTTAATTAAGTCACTAATCAACCGTGACATGTCAAAATTTCATACATTTACTTATAACTTCAATTATTTTAGTATTCAGACGGACGATATGAGATGTATGATAATATACATTCTCATTATTCTTGAACAATTGTGTTGTTTAAAATCCATAAACAGAAATTATTGATAGTTGAAAGCATGAGTTAATTGAAGATAGACCACCATGGAAAACCTGGAAGCACTAGACGGCCGTTTCGTGCCATCTGGGACTCCTCAGCAGTTCGCATCCACGATCTAGCCTCGCGAGATTCAAACCCAAAACTTATCAGTCTCGTACGCGAGAGCTTAACCACCATACCACTGAGCTGGCATCTAACGGTGTTAATTTCTAAATTCAACCAATCCACGAAATTGAGCAACCGTTAACACCATTGGATATCGACTCGGTGGTCTATCGGTTAAGTGCTCTCGCGCGAGGCTGGTAGGTCCTCGGTTCGAATCTGGCGAGGCGAGACCGTGGATTCGCACTGCTGAAGAGTCCCCCTATAGGACGAAACCGCCATCCAGTGTTTCCAGGTTTTCCATGGTGGTCTAACTTCAATTGACTCATGCTTTCAACTATGAAAATACTGAAATCTTCACAAAAACCCCTTCTGATAAATTATTAAATCAATTTGCATAATCATGACATAATTAGTTTACAAAATTTAATCCATTGATTTTTATATGATAAACCAATTGACTTATCATCAATGAATTTTTATTCAGCCAAGCTTTAGTCTAACATGACCAGTTATCAATGTAAAAAAAATCTATAAAACCAGTGCAATTTTTTTTCCATACTAGCTATCTAAATTTAGTAGTTAAGTAAATTTGTATCTACTCAATTCATCTATAGTCAAGTATGTAGGCTACATTGAGTATAGTTATGGAAACTTCAAATATGTAGCTAGTTATAATCAATTCTATCTGTTATAAATAAATAATATATTTGTAGTATATCAATGAGTAGAAAGATTAGATTTTCTAGCGTTTCGTGACTCAGTGTAAGCCACTTCTTTGGAGACTGAAAAAACTGACCAGTTGCAGTCCTAATACATCAATGGGAAGATTCAAACAAACAATACTAAGTGAATTTAAACTTCACCCCATCGCACAAGCAAGTGGCTATCAGGACTCAGTGGCCGAGTGGATAACGTGATGTCGTTTGAAGTGAGGGTACTGGGTTCGAGTCCCAAAGTGAACATTAACTCTGAGATGCAGGTACATCCAGCTGACGAGTCCCAAATAGGACGAAACGTGCGTCCTGGATTCCACTGATAGCCACTATCTATCTCTGCTTATTAATTCTATCTGTTGTTTTCAATCTGTTATTTAGTTAGTACTCGATAAAAAGTATAATTTCCAGTGAACTATTAGTCAAAGAAAGTTTTACTACTTATTAGAGTTCAAGTGGACAGTATGTTTAAACTTGAATAATATAAAGGTATTTTATAATATAAGGATTCAAGCTAGATCATTCAATGAGTAGAAAAATTAGATTCTTTAACGTTTCATGACTCAATGTAAGCCACTTCTCTTTTTTTAATTCTCTGAAGAAGTGCCTTACAATGAGTCACGATACATTAGAAAATCTAATTTTTCTACTCATTGGGATATTACAAATATATTACTATTTATTTATAACAATCTACCCAATGCTCAATTTATTCAAAATTATTAAATCATTCAAGATTGGTCTCCAGTGAAACTTCATTTGGAGATGTAGTGAAAATGTATGATTGAGGTTTATTAACCCCTGGAACCTTATGAGATAATCCGAGATAATCTTGTCATGAAGTGAAAAAAAATTTTGTGTACAACACCTAATGTAAAGTTCTGAGGTGTTCCAAAATTCTTTCTTTATACTAGTGAGTTTGAATATGATAGTTCACATATTCAATTTTACTCAATTAGCTAATATAGTGAGGTGACCATTCAATGAAACGATTTGACTGAAAAATATGTAGAACAAAGAATTATAGATATTAATATGAAATATGGAACCTTTATTCGTTACAAACAACTCGAAGAAATAATTCAAGCATACACAACATTTCTCCAACTAATACACAAACAAAACACAAAACGCTGGACAGTAGAGAGAAGAAACTGTAGGAATAGATACAATTCCCTCTCAACAATCGGTCAATCACAATGTAAAACTTCGTACTCACAATTGATTGATCACTGGGTGGTGATGAATTTCATGCGTGTCGAGTCCTTCTTAGTGCTGATCGAATGCTATCGATCAAGTTACAATGTGGCCACCAGTCTAGATGGCTCGACACTGAGTGCACTATGTTAAGATAAGATGGTGATTGGAGGTGGTCAACAAGATACCCTGGACATTCGCTTTTCATCCCCTCAATTTCGTAAACAATAATGTCACGAGAAGGCAGTGAGTAGGACTTCCCAGTCAGAGGCTATATATTCGCGTGGCCATGTGAGAGCATTTGGAGAGGGACAGCGGACTTTCCCCACTCTCGGCCGTACCAGGGCATTTGGGGGTGTTCCAGAAGTTTATCAACATACGTCAGGGTTAAAATGTTAGTATGAGAAAAATTAGTCCTTTTTTTGTTCATATACCTTCACCAATAACTTTCTTATACAAATTGTTTGGTAAAGTAAATATCCCATAACAAAAATGAAGAAAGTCTTACAAGATGAAATAATGACTGAAATTCGGTTTAACTAGAAAAATTCATACAGAGAATTAAAATATATAAAATTTACTTAAAGCATATCAAAACACAACTGACTTATATTTAAACAGTAAA